GCTACCGACAACAAATAATCAATTTGAACCACGATTTAATCGTGAAACGACCAGAATGTTCCAGAAGACACGGCAAAATAATTTTGCTTCATGATGACACACCATCACACACTTCAAAACCAGTTAAAGACACGTTAAAAGATCTTGCCTAGGAAGTATTAACCCACCCGCTATATTCACCAGACCTTGCTCCTTCAGATTACCGCTTGTTGCGATATATGGCACATGCACTTTCTCAGCAGCACTTCAAAACGTACAAAGAAGTGGAAAATTGGGTCTTTGAATGGTTTACCTTAAAACAAGTAAAGTTCTATTGAGATGATATCCATAAATTACCTGAAAGATGGGGGAAATGTGTAGCTAGCGATGGACATTACTTTGAGTAAAGCACTTTTGATGTTTCTCTTGAAATTATCGTGTTTTCTTTTATTACAAAATCCTAATTATTAACCAATACACCTAGTTTAAACTCTTTAGCTTATCATTTGAGCCCCTTCAATATCAACTCCTTACTTAAATCCAGGTTTTAAAAAGCTAGTACAAGGAACATCCATTCTTAGTCCTTATACCTAGAATGGCCTCTTAACTCTTCTGTCTTTTTAGGCCTGACTCATATCCTATATCCTTTGTGAGAGCTTTAAAAACCAATTCATCATTAACACTTGGAGCACTACTATCTATACCACCCATTTGCCACCTACCATATACCAGATTATATTGGTATGCCTCTAATGGTCAGTTTGATTTTAAGCCTTTGAAGTTAAATATCCTATCATATCTCCTTAAGTTTCTTGCACATAATTGGTACCAAATAATTATGATACTCTTGCTTAACAGAAAAAAGACTCCCAGTGACATAACCAAACATTTTATACCAAATAATAAAAATAAAGAGAACCCTAATTTACCTTAAGAACTCCTAGAGGAGAAACCTATGATGGCAGCATAGGTAAACACCAGAAATTGCTGCCTCGCGCAACTACTTCAAAACTACAACTAAAAGACAAAATGGACATCATCCAGAACCACAGGAAGGCTGGCTGAGTGAAATTCTATAACTAGAAGGAAAGAGAAAAGCACACTGAGACTTAGAGGAGGTGCGGAAGTAAAGAGCAGAGTTACTGGCAACTGAAGACATGGTTGTCTTTTTCAATGGGGAGGGAGTCTCAATCTCCCGACTGCTCTGAACTCCAGTTCTGGGTGAGACTCTGGGAATCCAGACTCATACAGGGAGAAACTGGACTGTCTGGAATCAGGTGGAACTCAAGGGTGGCTTTCTCTCAGAGGTGCTGGCAGCGATTACCTCAAGAC